CCCCTCACCTGTCCCCAGCAGCCCCACCAAACCGTTCCAGGTACCATTACTCGTCACCTCCCCCCACAGTTCACCTGAAGCGATTAAAGAAGATGGATTATAATGAAACACTTCCTCTAACAGTGTAACGATGCAGGTCGATGATGGTAACACTAACTGATGCAGGTCGATGATGGCAACACTAACTGATGCAGGTCGATGATGGCAACACTAACTGATGCAGGTCGATGATGGCAACACTAACTGATGCAGGTCGATGATGGCAACACTAACTGATGCAGGTCGATGATGGGCAGTGATGGTAACTGATGCAGGTCGATGATGATGCAACGATGCAGGTCGATCAACACTAACTGATGCAGGTCGATGATGGCAACACTGACTGATGCAGGTCGATGATGGCAACACTAACTGATGCAGGTCGATGATGGCAACACTAACTGATGCTGCAGATGCAGGTCGATGATGGTAACACTAATGATGCAGGTCGATGATGGCAACACTAACTGATGCAGGTCGATGATGGCAACACTAACTGATGCAGGTCGATGATGGTAACACTAACTGATGCAGGTCGATGATGGCAACACTGATGCTGCAGGTCGATGATGGCAACACTAACTGATGCAGGTCGATGATGGCAACACTAACTGATGCAGGTCGATGATGGTAACACTAACTGATGCAGGTCGATGATGGCAACACTAACTGATGCAGGTCGATGATGGCAACACTGACTGATGCAGGTCGATGATGGTAACACTAACTGATGCAGGTCGATGATGGCACACTAACTGATGCAGGTCGATGATGGCACTGACTGATGCAGGTCGATGATGGCAACACTGACTGATGCAGGTCGATGATGGTAACACTAACTGATGCAGGTCGATGATGGCAACACTGACTGATGCAGGTCGATGATGGCAACACTGACTGATGCAGGTCGATGATGGCAACACTGACTGATGCAGGTCGATGATGGCAACACTGACTGATGCAGGTCGATGATGGCAACACTGGCAGCTGCTTATTAATATGAGTTATTATCTAGATTTTGCGATAAACTTAACAGCCGCTTAAAGAGATGATAAAAGGAACGTTCCTGTTCTTAGCAACATATTGATATAATTCGTCTTTATAAGGTGATATAATTAAGGAATAGTAACTCCTTGTTTATAGAGTTCACGAGTTAGATCATTAAGTCTGAAGGCAGTTAGTTTAGACACCAAATAACTTTCACTTTATGAATATAATATTAAGTGCTATAGTATCATATTATCACATTATTGTCAGTAGCTCACTTAACAAGTCCATCGATCTCCTACAGATGGTGGTGAAGGGCGCCACCTACCTGGCGGAGGTTCCTTGAAGTTTATGGTGAAGTTGAAGACCTGAGCGAGGGCGGTGACGGCGTCCACGTCGATGCCGTAGCGGTGGAGCACTGAGCCGTTCCTCGCCCGCTGGTACATGATGTTGGGAGGCAACTCAAACGTGATCACCTGCAACACTCACGTATTGTTATTACCCAAGAGTCATAGAGAATAATAACTAGAACCATGAATCTCATAATTCTACTTTATGCGAGCTACAGGTACAAGTATTTCTATGGTAATAATCAAGCCTACCTGCCGCGTGCCATAAAAACTGATAAACCCTTATTTTTAACTTATGAATATTGAGACAAAGAAAATGTGTATGATTTGCTTTGTGTCTAAGTACTTCGAGAACACTACAGTGTGTGTAGCTCTGACAATATATAAATGATAAAAAATCCAACATATCTATAGCATATGTCTCCTCCTGTAGGAGAGGCAGACGGAGGTAATATGATGCACTATAACAAAACTACGATTTAGAAATGATCAAATAAATTCTGTATTCAGTATTGACAATAATACAGATTTTTAAACACTTCTACTTAATAAAATCTCCCGAAGGTGAAAAGTGGCGGCAGGTGCACAGTGCTCAGTAGCCCGCAGGGTCTTATGCACATTATACCTTTACTTATGTACTGTATATACCCGTATATCCTGGAAAAATGACTTACCATAGAAGAAGGCTACAGTGTTCCTCCATGACTCACATTAAGAACAGCTCCCTGCAGGTCTGTGATCTTGTCCGGGAAGAGGTTGACGGGGATGGTGGAGGATCTTGAGGTGGTCCACGTAAACACCCGGGCCATCTTCTCCCGCTGGTAGAGCTGGTTCATCACCACCACGTACTGCCCCGCGTCCCCTGACTGTCCCCACCACAACCACACCATGTTGGCAAACAAATAATAGTAGGAGACACAGGGAGAGATAATATTAAAGGTTTATATATAGATCAAAGACGCGGGTGTGACCATAAACTACACGGCTCCCTCTTGGTGTGTACGAGACGGAGAAACAGTCCTCCCATAATTCATACTTGTGCTACAGTGATAAGTGATGGCCTCTCACACACTCTTCTACAGTAGATTAAGTGAACCAGACCCACAACTCAATAGAACCACACCCATGCTCACCTGAACCACACTCACAACTCACCCGAATCACGCCCACGATGTGATCAGTCTTCCTGCCCTTGTTAGTGATGGTGAGGGCGTGCAGCTGTTCCCGTGACAGGCCCGCCACCACGTACCTGCAGGTGAGGGAGGGGGGGTTGTGAATTTCTGGTATTCCAAGTTCTTACAGAATTTAACATAATATTAGAATCACAATCACCACCAAAGTAGCTTTTCGTTTACAGATTCAGTGTCAGAACTGCCTTGTAATGCTTCACGAACTCCGCCCACCCAAGTGAACTGTAACAGATCATTACAGAAGTATATCCAACGTTAACAGTACTGTGCCATAATCTAGCAATGATTAGAGATCCATTTTGCTAAAATCAAACATAATTCAGTGATTATTTTGACCCACTATGAGAAAAAACAGGTAGAAGTCTATTTGCCGCGAACCTCAGTAATCGAATCCATTTTCAGGGAAGAGAATTTGTAATAGTTATATATAAGTCCGAGACAGGATCAGTGATAGGAGGTTCATTCATGCACGAGCGGTAAAATACTTTGACTAAAAAGAAGTGAATCAGAATATTATTATCCGGTAATGTGTTGTGTTGACTAGTGAAGCCAACATCCCCAGCCAGTGTCTCACCTGCCGTCATAGTCCCAGGCGCCTGTCACTGGGTCGGTCAAGGTGTAGAGCGGCGCTGGGTCGCTCAGGAGCAGCAGGTAACCTCGACACTGCTGTGCCTTCAACACCGCCTTCTGCAGGTCCTGCACACCCACCACGTTCACCACCTGTTATGTACATTAAAACACAATTGACCATCACTGTGTATATTTTTGGCAGTATTTGTATATTTCATCACAGGTGAGTGTGTGTGTGTGTGGCTAGACAAGTTTATTGACGACAAAAATATTCAAGTTCCACACATACAAACACATAATAGACTACAGTATGTTGTGTTGTGTTGTGTTGTGTTGTGGCATAAGTGGTGTGAGCAATATCCGGACCTGTCTCAGGTTAGGGAGTCGCAGGAGGCGGTCCATCACTGGTGACCTCCAGAAGCCTTGGTCGGCAGCCACCACCAGGACGCACTCCCTCAACTGCTCGATCACGATAGCGCTCAGCAGCACGGCCAGGGAGTCTTCGTCTCGTACAGGTAGTTTTATCATCCTACGGTATCGTCTTGATGATGGAGATGTGTGAGTGATAAGTGGCGGAGATATAGAGAAGGGTTTAGTGGACGCTTTACCTGTGTACCTTCTAGTAGCAAGTTGGTACACTGAAGGTGGATGAGTGTGAAGGTTAAACGGCATCTCAGTGAAGGGAAGATGATGTGAATTTGTAGACAGAGATTCCAGTTTATCCTCGACGTTAGCAGTGGTGGGTTGAGGGAAGGAGGCAGCGTGCAGGTAGGTGGTGTGGTTACTGTGCTTGTTGTAAACACTGTAGACCGTACTGGACGCTACCAGAATCACCGTCAGTTGAGGAAGAAGATTTGTCCCACGCATAATACTCAACCAAACATGTAAGATTAAAATTTTATTAATCATTTCCATGAGAATCAAGATGCAGGAGGAAGCTGTAAACATGGATAGAAGAGCATGGATGGCGAGGGATAAATGTGACAATATCAAACATACAGCAGAAAGTACAAACACATTTAAACACAAACAGACACACTTAATAAAGCACTTTGAGGATGGCGGGATATTATGGAAGTTAACTGACGTATTAACAGAATAAATGAGAACTATAGACTTTAGACGAGTTATCACCATACACCCTGAGAGGACTGTTGTTTACCCTTAACACTGTACGGCCTGAGCAGTTGGTAGCCCTGACGTTTTGTGGTTAGAGTCTGAACTAAAATATAATAACTTAGCAGATTAAGGGGCTAAGATAGAGTATATAAAATCATACATATATAAAAGAAGAGCATTATGTTAACACTATTAAGGTAGAGGATTGTATTAATAAAACGTGTCAAGAAATAATGGAAGCTGCCAGTTGTGTTGAGTAGTGTCTGGTGTCTCTTATTATGTAACTCTTGATGACTCGTGTGTTACTTAGACAACACACTTATAGACCTGAGGTGTTGAGACCCCCAAACACTGTATCATCAACAATATCGTGAGGAGAATACTCTTTATACTGTGTGTTCTATGAGCAGAACACAAACGGAAATAAATAATAAAACATTATTAGTATTTATGATACGTAAACTATGAGAACAACTTACTCTCTACTCACTAATAATTACCAACAATACTTGGCTGTGATATTTATCTAATATAAGCAACAACAAATTCTTGAAACATTTAAATGTTAGAATATTGCGATACTTTATTTTACCCAACATACTGTACATACACACACACTAAGATTTATACAGACACAGAGATTTATAGAACCACACTCATTTATACACATATGAGTTGTTTTATATTGGTGTGAGAATACAGAAGGTTAGTAAAGAGTTATTATGTGAACAAGATATAAACTAACCTGCAGTATAGGGGGTCAGTGTACAGCAGTGTTGTTCTTATGTCAGTACTTGTCCGTCTTAGTGTCTGTCTTTATATCAACATATGGAGGGGGGGGGGGCAGGCTGGCCAATGTTCATTGGTCAGTGGCCGAGGATGGACCAATGACAGTGGCCCTCACTGGTCTGGGGGCGTGGCTGGATAAATGGACCGAGACTACAACTGGATAGTGGGCGTGGCTAGACCAGTGGGCGGGTCTGACCTTGACAAATGGTCTTGACTAGATCAATGGACAGGATCATTGGTGGGCGTGGCTGGACCGTTAGACAGAGACAAGATCGTAAATAAACATGACTGGAACTGTCTGTGTGTCTGTCTATTAACCAGTGACACCAAGTGAAAAGTTTGAGGACTCATTACTACACAAATATAATGATTAAACGAAAACCTCAGGGATCACACAATATGGACGAGTAATGGGGAAGTGTTGGCAGATTATTTTATGATTCCTGCAAAAACACTTGAGAATCATTAGGAAATTCTCCACATAGTACTGGTGTGGCGAGAAGGACAGACTCGGTAGATGGATGAGCAGGATGTAGATCACTTAGGACTAAATGGTGAAGGATATGTGAAGTTTTCCTGAAAAATCCATAAAATTAATGAATGTCGGTCACCAGGGCAACAGAATCATTTATTTTTATTAACATACAAAGAAAACTTTATTCCTCGGTGACAGAGAATAAGAAATAGTCATTAAACTTATTGAAGAGAACCGTAACACAACCTCACACATACTGCCCAGTGGTGCTGACGGAACCATGCATACTGCCCACTGATGCTGACAGAACCATACATACTGCCCACTGATGCTAACGGAACCATGCATACTGCCCACTGATGCTGACAGAACCATACATACCGCCCAGTGGTGCTGACAGAACCATACATGCTGCCCACTGATGCTGACGGAACCATACATACTGCCCACTGATGCTGACAGAACCATACATACTGCCCAGTGGTGCTGACAGAACCATACATGCTGCCCACTGATGCTGACGGAACCATACATACTGCCCACTGATGCTGACAGAACAATACATACTGCCCAGTGGTGCTGACAGAACCATACATGCTGCCCACTGATGCTGACGGAACCATACATACGCCCAGTGGTGCTGACAGAACCATACATACTGCCCAGTGATGATGACAGAACCATACATACCGCCCACTGATGCTGACTCAACATACATACTGCCCAGTGATGCTGACAGAACCATACATCCTGTCCAGTGATGATGACAGAACCATACATACTGCCCACTGATGATGACGCAACATATATACGCCCAGTGATGCTGACGGAACCATACATACTGCCCAGTGATGCTGACAAAACCATAGATACTGCCCGTGGTGCTGACGGAACAATACATACTGCCCAGTGATGGTGATGGCCATTGCCGGTGGTGCTGACGGAACCATGCATAACACTTAGTGGTGCTGACAGAACAATACATACTGCCCAGTGGTGCTGACAGAACCATACATGCTGCCCACTGATGCTGACGGAACCATACATACTGCCCAGTGGTGCTGACAGAACCATACATACGCCCAGTGATGATGACAGAACCATACATACTGCCCACTGATGCTGACTCAACACATACCGCCCAGTGATGCTGACAGAACCATACATCCTGTCCAGTGATGATGACAGAACCATACATACTGCCCACTGATGATGACGCAACATATATACTGCCCAGTGATGCTGACGGAACCATACATACTGCCCAGTGATGCTGACAAAACCATAGATACTGCCCAGTGGTGCTGACGGAACAATAAACACGCCCAGTGATGGTGATGAACCAGCCATACTGCCAAGTGGTGCTGACGGAACCATGCATAACACTTAGTGGTGCTGACGGAACCACATACTGCTCAGCGATGCTGACGGAACTATACATACTGCCCAGTGATGCTGATGGAACCATACATACTGCCCAGTGGTGCTGACGGAACATATATACTGCCCACTGATGCTGACGGAACATACATACTGCCCACTGATACTGACGGAACCATCACATACTGCCCACTGATGCTGACGGAACCATACATACTGCCCAGTGTTGCTGACGGAGCCATACATACTGCCCAGTGATGCTGACGGAACCATACATACCTGCCCAGTGATGTTGACGGAACCATACATACTGCCCAGTGATGCTGACGGAACATACATACTGCCCAGTGATGCTGACGGAACATACATACTGCCCAGTGATGCTGACGGAACCATACATACTGCCCACTGATGCTGACGGAACATACATGCCGCCCAGTGGTGCTGATAGAACCATACATACTGCTCAGTGGTGCTGACAGAACTATACATACTGCCCAGTGGTGCTGACGGAACCATACATAACGCCCAGTGGTGCTGACGGAACCATATATACTGCCCAGTGGTGCTGACGGGACCATACATACTGCTCAGTGATGCTGACGGAACCACATACTGCCCACTGATGCTGACGGAACATACATGCTGCCCAGATGCTGACGGAACTACATACCGCCACTGATGCTGACGGAACCATATATACTGCCCAGTGGTGCTGACGGGACCATACATACTGCTCAGTGATGCTGACAGAACTATACATACTGCCCAGTGGTGCTAATGGAACCATACATACTGCCCAGTGACGTGATTGTTGAAGTAATTATAGCGGAATGTATTAGATATGATGATAGATTCTGACTTATATGAAGCCCAAAAGAATGTGAGAAACTGTGTCAAGGAAAGTGCTCAGTCAGAGATGAGCAAATTGTACATCAGAATATATGAAATTTTCCGAATGAAGAAAAAGAAGAATTGAAATACGAAAATGATAAGAGAGAGGAAATATCTTACACATAATTATGTTTCAGTAAATACAAAATTGAGTCATTGCTCGATGGGCCAGAAAGCTTAACTCTGGATTTTGTTGTGTGTGTGTGTGTGTGTTGATAAAGGTAAACAAAGAGGAGGAAGCGCTCGTCCTCACCACTCATAATGGATGTCATATTCCTCCCATATGAGTAACTCACAAGACTGACGATATGCAACTTATTATATTAGATATATTATATTTTCCAGGTTCATGTAAGAGACCCTCAATCAAGGCCAGGTTGGTCCATCCACACTCCCACCGTGATGAAGTTGATGTAGTCCAGGAGGCGCTCGGCTGGATAATGACGGAACCAAGTTGCTACACCTTGATGAGTGTTAAGATCAGTGAGGTTAGAAACGTTTATTCTTCATATATATAGGTGAATTTGACTTGAAATATATAGGAATTTCAGCCTTATGCATAGCCTGGGTCTCATGGTGCTGCCCAACAATAACAAAGGCACCTCGTAGCACAGTCAATAAGGAGACCAGGATGTTGTCACTCAGTTTTGAGGGTTTTAAAAGCCAATCAACATGCTTGGAGGCAGAAGTATGTTGCCAAGACAGTTTCAGTTCCAGTGTATACCTCGCGGTGGAATACCAGTCGACAACACCCTCCTCCCCATAGCCACACACATCTACATCACATTAGGGCTGGTGAGTGTTGCACTGGATAACATTATTTATTTTTTGAAGTACCATTTTACATGTTTTCTACACCATCGTAAGGTACTACTATATAGTTCCTCTATCAAACGAATCTACATAATAAAAATCGTACGTTTTATTTACTGAAATACAATAAAAATAAAAAATAAAAAATTCAAGGTGGTTTTGGTTGATTCATTTCGGCCGAGCGCCTCAGTCAGTATGCCGACCTGGGCTGGACTTCCCTGTACACGATGCTGTGGTAGCCCCATGGTCGGTTTGCATGAAGCACTCGGGGCTTAAACAAAACAAAAACGATTCGTTATTGGTGGAGATTTCCGTGGTGAGGACTAGGCACCTCACTAGTGTACTGTAATGAGACAGAATAAACAGAGAAGAGGAAGATATATATATATAGGAGAGAGTATAGAGTATAGGAATGTAAAGATAGGAAACTTGGTAGCGTGGCCTGGATGTTATTTGCACAGCGTCACTACGCTTATCTTATCCCGTATGTTATACACATATCACTTCTTAAAGGGACAACTTGTTAAACACCTCTTAATACAACTATTTATTACTTCACCCAATGACATGGACATTAATATCACTATTATATCGGGGTACTAACACATCATGCTTTACGTTACTTGACACTGACTCTCGACACACCTGAATGAATACACTTCCCACAGTAGGTAACTCACCCTAGACGTTCTGACAAGACTCACGTACCCTGACGTAGGCCCAGTGAGTGCTGGCTGGGCTGCCTCCTATGAGAGGCTTGCTAGTTAGGTCTGGTCGGGAAGTCCCTTCCCGACCTGGGGAGAGGGTGAGCTTGACTCTGAGAATCTCCAGAGTACTCCTCAGAATGTTCAACAGGATCAGAATGACGATCAGAATGGTAATGGAATATCGAATGCCGAATATGGAATCCCCGTGGACGGGACTGTAGGCCTTTTATATGGGGTCGGCCCAGCCGGCTTCTGACCCCAATACCAACACTAAACTGGTTTTGATCTGGATAAGTGTGCAGGTGTGGTCCTGGCCAGGTGTCTTGGCTAGGTGCGGTTGTAGGTCACCGGCTCACGTCATTAGCGGGCCAGGTCAAGTCCCTTGGGTCGACCTGAGGTGTGTCAAATCGGATGTGGTGGTACCACGAGGTCTGTGGTGTACTTGCTGTTATATGTGACATAATTCTGGGCTGTAAGGTTTGGTCTGACAATCACTCATTACAGTACAGACCATCATCTTCATGGGCGGGTCAACCATGTAGATGGTCTTAGACGCGACTCTCACGACTCAGACACCATAACACATAGAGCTAGACTACGCGGCTAAGAAAATTTAATGTAAATGTAAACAAACACAATACAAACAAACACACAATGTAAACAAACACAATGTAAACAAACATACAATGCAAACAAACACAATGTAAAACACCACACAATGTAAACA